TCAGCCATGCAGAGTCGCTAACTCTTCTCATTCACCACCTCTGACCCGCCCACCACACTCACCCACCTTTCTCAGCCCATCAACCACCAAACCAACCCTTCCTACTTGACCACCACACCCAAACCACTTACCCTCTTCGAAACTTCTCGTGCCATGCTAGTCGCTAACTATTCCCATACTTCACCACTGACCCACCCACTACCCGCCAACCCACCAACCCACCTTCCCTGACTTGACCACCCACCCAACCTTGCCCACTAACCCACCTCCGAAACTTCTCGAGCCATGCCAGTCGCCAACTCGTCCATTCACCACCTCAACCGCGCCACACCACACTCACACCACACCTTCCTCGGCCCACCGACCCCCGGCCCACCTTCCCTGACTCTTATACCACCCACCCAACCTAGCCCACTAACCCACCTCCGAAACTTCTCAGGCCATGCTAGTCGCTAACTCGTCCCATTCACCACCTCTAACCCGCCCACCACACTCACCCACCTTCTGCAGAGCCCACCGGACCACGCCCACCTTCCCTGACTCTTACCACCGCACACCAACCTTGCCCACTAGACCCACCTCGAAACTTCTCGAGCCATGCCAGTCGCAACTCTTCCCATTCACCACCACCTCTGACCCGCCCACACACTCACCACCCACCTTTTCCTCAGCCCATCAACCCACCAAACCCACCTTCCCCGACTCTTACCACCCACCCAAACCTGCCCACTAACCCACCTCCGCAAACACTTCTCGAGCCATGCAGTCGCCTAAAATTCCCATACTTCACTTTCTGCCACCACACCACCCACTTTACCCACCCAACCCAACCTTCCTGACTCTTACCACCCACCCAACCTTGCCCACTAAACCCACCTCCGAACTTCTCGAGCCATGCCAGTCGCCAACTCTTCCCATTCACCACCTCTAACCCGCCCACCACACTCACCCACCTTCCTCAGCCCACCGACCCACCGGCCCACCAGCCCACCAGTCGTCGCCGCTCGTCATGGGTCTGTTCCTGGCGCACTCATTGTGACAGACAGGTGTAATTTCGGACTCTTCACGCTGTCCTGCCTTTGATTAAATAAAAAAAAGACAAAAAAAAAAAAAAAAAAAAAAAAAAAAAAAAAAAAAAACATTCACCTTTGACTAAAAAGAACAAAAAAAAAAGAAAAAAAAACCACCTTTGATTAAAAAAAAAAGAAAAAAGAAAAAAAGAAAGACAAAAAAATAACATTCATTCGTTTAGGAAATTAAGAAAATAAGGATGAGAGAAAGAGGAATATAAAGTGAAAAGAAATAAATTGAAATTAAAAAATGCACAGAGAACACTAAAGATAGAGAAAAATGTATGAGTGAAATTATGAAAAAAATAAACAAATAAGGATATCAAAATGAATGAACGAAAATGCTAAACGAAATTAGATAAAAAAAAATATATAAAAATGGATGAAAACCATTAAAAATAAAGAACAAAATTATAAGAAATGAATTGTAATATAAGATACAGATTACAGTATGAAAAGAAATTAAGGGAAATGAAAACGGGAGAGAAAAATGTATTTAAGGGTGGATTTAAGAATTTTGAAAATGGAAT